TGTGGAATTCAAGTTTAGTAATAATAGGGGTTGAAACGAGGAATTAGTTATGATTGAAAGAGATTATTTTTTATATTTGGGATCGATAATCTATAAAAAAGGAGAGATTGAGAGATTGAGGAAGATATTGCTTATAGAATTAGAGCTGGGTGCACACAGTGGAGATGTACTTCTAGAGTCTAATATGATCGTTGCATACCAATGAAATTGAACGGGAAGTTCTATAGGACGACTATAAGACCAGCCATATTATATAGAATGGAATGTTGGGTGATAGAGAAACAACATATCCATAGAATGAGTGTAGATGAGATGGATAATTGGTAAGTCAAGGAAAAATAAATCCATTAGGCAATAAAATGAGGGAAATTAGACTTCATGGTCTAGTCATGTGCAATGTCGACCTTGAGCATCACCGATTAAGAGAGGTAATTTGGTTCAAGTGAAAGGCTCTAAAAAGGCAAGAGGAAGTCCTCGAAGGACATATTGTGAAAGTAGTGAGAAAAGATATCGTGACATATGGTCTAACTGAGAATATAACCCATTGATAGAGCTTAATGATAGAACATGACTTGTGTAGCTGACCCGAAATAATTGGGATCAGGCTCGGATGATGATGATATGATGACAACTTTTCTATTTGATGTATACTCTATTCTTGAGATATCATGTTGCTATGTCAACACCCTAACCAGTCTATCCTTAAAGACTGTGAAAGCATATAAATAAAAATTATAATAGATTGTGCACTTTAATGAGAGTGTGTGTGTTGGTTGACTGACCTAAGGTTAGGCGGTTTATGACCCTGATAATATCTAAAACCGTTACCCATAGGCATATGACACAATCGAAGACGGATTTTAGAGGATCATCCCTTAGTGGGATCAGGGAGATGCCTAGGGATGGTTTGAAGGCCAGGAGAGCTTAGTGGTCTCTTGTGTGTGGATGTAGGCCTATGAGAGCAAATGCTAAATCCTCAACAAGCTTTTGTGCGACATGTACACATAACAACTGCATTATCAGGAAGCCAATCCTCAAAAGGAATATGTGTACATGTGCATCGAAAGAGCCCCATTGCACTATAGCGACGTGTGTGTGTGTGACATGCTCGTAAAGGGGAGAACTTATAATCCATATTCTGGGACTGTGGTTCCATTATTTATTGGTTAGCTTTGATGAGCAATCATGAACCCCTCCATGAGACGTTAGGTCATGGGTCTCGTTGGGTTAGTTTGAGAAGATAGTCGAGGATCACAGTTATTGGGTGTAGTGGCATGTCCCGACCTTCTTTTTCTTTGACCCATATGTACTGGTCCACTTCTAGATATTCTATTTTGGAAAAGTTTTCTATGTTCTCCCTACAACATAGAAGTTCTATCCTCCCCCTTATCCAACCGTCCATTTTTTAATGGAGGGCTAAGATTGCCCCAATCACAATGTCACGTCTCTACATTGTTTTATTTTTAATGTTTATCTATAAACTGTTTTGACATGAAATTTTGGACGTCCATTCCTCTATTAAACTCGAAAAAACGAAAAATATAAAAAAAATATTTTCAACAATATAAAATGACAAAACACCCCTGAAAGTTTTAAGGGATATTTTGGTCATTATTTTTTATCAAAAAATTATTGTTAATATTTTTTATAGGTGCGCCCGAATGAGAAGATGACACGTACCAAATTTTATATTCAGAAAAATTATATTAAAAAAAAGCTAAAAATAAAATACTTTGAGACGTCGGATCTAAGATCAAACGGTGAGTGACTCTCTTGATAAAAAATGGGCAGCTGGATGGTAGGGGAAGGATAGAACTTCTATGTTGTAGGGAGAACATAGAAAGATTTCCCTTATATTTTTATTGTAAAAATATTTTTTTAAGGGATTTTACACAAGGCGACCGAATTTTTGAGCAATGCCTGGTTCGGACCCACATTGGTGTGGCATGGAGCCCATGGGGCCCACACCTCGCACATGGAGGTGGCACGCCCCACTCTCTTCTCTTTCATTTTGTATTTTAAAAAAATAACGGTGTTTTGGTTGGATAGGAAATCTTTTGAAAGGATATTATGTCCTTATTTTGTGGTCTTTTTCTGACTTCCTACAGTTTTGTGAGAAATAAGGGAAGTTCTAGGCGATTGCTTTGGATTGCCCTTATCCTAGTTTGACCAGATGTGGATATCGGTCAAAGATTCAAGGAAAAAGGTTCTTAGATTCCTCCTTAAATCATGATGGTTGATTTATAAGATGGAGGGCTTAGATTTATTTCTCTCACCTCACAGATTTCATAAAATTCTATGGGCCATAAGTAGTTACAAATTGAATAAGCATACCTAGGGCTATTGAGCCTTATACAAGGACGAGACCCCCATCATTCGCTATAGAATTTTTCCTAGCCTCTCTCTCTTCCTTCTCTCTCCTCCGTGCCAACTGTCTCTCTTTTCTATTGCTCTCTCTCAGTGGTATGTGAACCCCATAAGGGTCTAGGGGTGGCATTCATCACCCTACCGATAGAGAGAAAGGGGACACTCCCAACTTTGGTCTAGGTTAGGGGAGGTGCCACACAGTAGCATTCCCCAAAGGTCTGAAAAGGTTCTAAAAACCCTAATTGTTTATGCTTTCGAAACCCTAGATTTGTAAGGCATTACCTAAGGGAGCTTTCCGACTAAGAAAATTCAGTAGGGCCAATTGTATCATAGTGCACCATCAATCAAGAAATTGGGTGTGAGGTGTACTAAGTCCTAAGAAGATGACCCTAGCCAAATTCAAGTAAGTCTTTTCAGCTGTTTAATTTTATTTTTCAATTATTCTTTGCTTGTTTATTCAAATTTTTAGGAGCGTTATTTGTTCTAAGAGCCGGCCCCAAATAGTTGAGGAAAGGCTCTGATTATGATGATGATAATGATGATTATTATTATTGTTATTGTTATTGTTATTGTTATTGTTATTGTTATTGTTATTGTTATTGTTATTGTTATTGTTATGATTATTATTATTATTTGTAGTAAAATTCATATTCAAAAGTTGTTTTTCAATCTTGGATTTTGTCTATTCCTTTTGATAGTAAATGAAAGATCCAAGGTTGTATTTTGGATCTTATTTCTTGGTTACAGTAGTCTTATGTGGCACTTGTAAGCATGAGGCAGATTATTTGAAGAAACAATAAAAATCAGCAAGAAAACAACTAGACACATGCAATTTTGGAGAAACCTTAAGTTTTCTCCCCACCTAGGGCTCATGCCTTAGGTTTCTCTTTTTTTTTTAAGGCAAGTCTTCTTTTTCTGAAAAGAGGAATATACGATTATGTCCGGCCCATTCACACCCCTCTTATACATTAAAAATTTATTGTTTTGGACAATATTTGTCCATACAATTAACTTTTGACCAAAGGTCTTAACTTAAGCATTACTTGAAATTAAACTCCCTAACTTTAATTAAATGTCCACAAAGTCACTAACTGGTCCAGCAATCAAATAAATTTAAAAGGCTATCTGAAGAAGCCCCAAAACAACTAAAAAACTATTCAAACTATTTCGAGCTCTTCTTGTTCTTTTTGGATGCCCTCTTACGGTTTTCATGCCCCAAATATAAGCGAAAATTAAGAGGAATCTGTCACTTCCAAAGAAGATACTCATGGCTACTTCTTGTGATCTGATAATAATGAAAGTGGAATTCAGATACATTAATAAAAGAAAAGAATTTTTTATTTTACTCCCTTGAATTCCACATGGGCACTTCTTTTACAGTGAAGCTCAAGCCCAAATGGTTATATTTCTCTATTGACCCGTTCAAGGCATTTGGTAACTTAAAGAATAGCTGGCTTTAGTAGAATTTGCAGAATAAAATCTGAAAAGGACATGCTACTAGCATTTTTTATGATTTATCAAACAACTACAAATTTACAGTATAGAGTGTACACATTAACTCCCTTGAGAAACTAGATTTACAACCCACTCTAATCACAATCCACTGTACTTCACGATTATAACTCGTCAGCCAAAACATGCATCTAACGCTCTTGGTAACCATTGCTGATTATGAATTTAATCAAAGCAGTGCTTCATTATTGTCAATTATGTCGACTCAGTGTATGCAGTATGCTTGCAAGAGGCCTTCTAAATAGTATAGCATCTTGATAGCCAAGGCATTATTATATGCGTGAGTTATTGGTCACTTGATAGACTTCATCTGAACATATGGTAAAGGGCTCCCTTCTACTCATGGTAAACACCAAATCACTTACAAGGTAAGTCATCGGAAGATAATAACCTTGACTTTCTTTTCAACTGAAGGGAGTGTAGCAATTCTTCTCACATACACTAATCATTTCTTATGTTCCTATTGGTACTACTTGGTATTTGGTCTAGTGCCAGGTTTTCACATATGCGATAACTGTTAAAATTCTGAATCCTCCAGAGAAACGCTGGATTTAACGCAATACGTATGGCGCTCATATTATCAGCATACAATGGTGTAGAAGTTCGATGACGAATATTGAGGTCTTGTAAAAGGCCTCTCAACCAAGTAATTTCATTGCAAGGATATTGCTCGGTATTCGGATTCTGCAGAAGATTTAGACACAGTTTTTTGTTTCTTACATTTCCATGATATGAGAGAATCTCCAAGAAAAATACACCACCCAGTGGTTGAGCGTCTAGTATCGGGGCATCCTACTCAATCCGCATCAGCATAGACTCGTAACTGGAGAGAAGAGGTAGAAGAGAATAATAGACCTCTATGGTATGGACCCCGTAGATAACGAATGATACGATGGACAGCAGAGAGGTCGATGCGACTAGGATCAACAACAAATTGGCTAACGACCTGAACTGCATGAGAAATATCTGGACGAGTCATAGTGAGATAAAGTAGACTCTCAACTAGTTGTCTATAAAGAGTAGGATCCGAAAGTTTGTCTCCATCATCCTCCTGGTTATAGACAGTTGAGGAGATAGAGATAGTTGAGGATAGTTTTTAATTTTAAGTTATCTTGTATTTGATGTAGATATCTCTCTTGATATGACAAGATTAGTTCGTATTATCAATAATTGATTAGCCGTATATCTATACAGGACTTTGTGTATTATGATGATTAATCAATACACAGAGATTTCGCTGGAGGATTCAGAATTTTAACATGGTATCAGAGCAAGGTTCCCTTCGAGGGCCCCATCGATCTGATCTCATTGGTGGTGCTGTTGTCGTTACAGAGAGCTAATTGTCCACCTCATCAGCTCGAGACGCATCAGAACCCTAGATGCTCGTCATCAAACCCTCGGCCAAATGCTCTTCTCCCACTGCCCCAGGACGCTGTAGTTTGGGTTTTCACGTCCATAGTTTCTTCCTCATAAACCTCAATGCACAGAAGTTGAATTTCGTTGATATAGAAGCATGGAACCCTTTCTCTCTCTCTAGCTAAGTGTTAAATGGAGGTGGTCCATTTGGATATATAAGTAAAAGAAGATGGTCCTCTTTTGATATTGGGGCAACACTCGCCATGATTTGGATAGATAAATAAAACAAGATGGAGAAAGAGGCCATGACAAGTGCCATTTAAATATCTGCAAGTAAGCCACATGAGGAGGATGTGGATATACGCGTGTTAAACGAGGACGTCGTCGCAGGATGTCTATTCTCAACAAGGTTAGTTGACAAACTTTGGTTTTTGAGCAAGAGCACAAAATCAAACATGGAGAATGGAATCCACGGCTTGGGATGGAATCAGTGGCCTCTCTGAGGCTTGGGAAGCTTGGCTTTGAGAGAGAAGACTCAAAGAAAAAGTAGTGAGAGATTGGAATCTATTTGCGTTTTTTTAAAAACAAAAGGGAGGTGGTCCATAAGGACCATATTATATCAAAAATATTGTTTTATGTTCATGAATTATTTACTAGATCCTAATTCTTGATCACGTCTGTGAGTTTTGATACAACTTACACGTGGCTTTTGAAAAAAGATATGTATTGGCTATAAAACTGAAAATTATCCCGATTGGCTGTTCCATTTTCAATTTTTTGTTGAAGGGAAAGGTTTGTGGTGGTATGTTGATGGCACTGAATCGGCTACACCCAATACTAAAGATACCCAACAATGGAAGATCAACAATGCAAAAATTATCTCATGGATCCTCGGCTCTGTAGATCTGGATATTGGAAGGCCAATGAGAGGTTTCCGTACTGCGAAAGAAATGTGGGAATATTTGGAAAAAGTTTATCAGCAATCAAATCTTGGAAGACGCTTCCAAATTGAGTATGATATGTTTTCTTATAGCCAAGGGGAGAAAACCATTTAGGAATATTATGCTGGTTTTATGAACTTGTGGACAAAATATGAATATGTAACCTTGAAGGCTATTACTAGTGCTTGTTGCATTAAGAGCTTAATGGATATAAATAGCGACAGGAAGTTGATGCAATTTTTGATGAAGTTGCGCCCAGACTATAAGAATGTTCGAGCCAATATTTTGAATCGCCAAGCATTAGCAAATATGGATGTTATTCTCAGTGAATTACTTCGTGAGGAAACAAGGATCATGATCCAAGCCACCATTGAGGGAAAGAACGATATAGAGTCTGTACTTCTAGCTCAACAAGCTAGAGGGACACCATCACAAAAGGAGCAATATTTGCTGCAATGTTATAAGTGTAAAGAATATGGTCATATAGCATCCCAGTGTAGGAAGAAATTTTTTTGTACTTATTATAAATGCGTTGGGCATATCATCACAGAATGTTGAAATCCTTCTCGACGCGGCAACCGGGCATTCGATACACGAAAACCTTTTTACAGGGCATACCTAGCTGCTATTGATGCTTCTAAGGGACTAAAGGTAGAGACCCCTCCATTCAGCACTATTCATGACCCAAATATGACAATGTCCTAGATATCAGATGATATTCGACAGTTGGTTCAAAATTCTGTATCTACGGCTATCTCTTCTGCTTTCTCTGCTATGGGCTTGTCTGGTATGAACTTTCATCTATAGTGTAAATCCCTTTTGGTTTATTGACTCGGGTGCCTCTAATCAAATGACTGGAGTGCACACAAGTCCAGCATCTACTAAATCATACCGAGGTAATAGTCAGATTCTCACCGCTAATGGGGAGAAACTGAATATTATTGGTATTGATAATCTTTCACTTTCTATCGCCCGTGGTACACCTTTTCATTTACGTAATGTCCTCTTCGTTCCTAAATGAACTGTTAATCTAATCTCTGTGGGCCAACTAGTTGATGATGGTTACAATGTTCAATTTTCTCGTGATGGTTGTCTAATACAGGACCAACACATTGGGAGAGTGACAGGGAAGGGGCGTAGAATTGGTTGTTTGTTTGCCTTGGAGTTTGAGAAACCAAACCATGATGCTTCGTTCTTTTCTCCATCGAATTATGATTTTTATGTTTTCAATAAACAATGGCATATGTGGCATCGAAGACTTGGTCATCCGAATGCAAATAAATTAGATACTTTGTTTCCTTCTGGTTCATTGCCCAATAAAACACTTTATTTGAATTCTATCAATAAATCTTGTATTAGTTCTTTGAATAAAAGCACCAGCTTGCCTTTTCCAACTCGAGTAGATAAAACAACTGCGCATTTCCATCTCATTCATAGTGGTGTGGTCTCCTGCTCCAACTTTATCCGGAATGGGATATAAGTATTTTGTTTTGTTCAATGATGATTGATCACAATATACCTGGATATACTTTATGCGCCATAAATCAGAAGTGTTCTCCCATTTTAAAACGTTTTTATCCATGATTGCAACTCAGTTTAATACCAAAGTAAAAATCTTATGGTCAGACTCCAGGGGGGAATATTTATCAAATGATTTTCAAGACTTTTTGAAAAACAGTGTATTCAATTACAGAAAACTTGTCCTTATACTCCACAACAGAATTGCATAGCTGAAAGGAAAACTGCCATATCTTAGAAGTTGTGAGGACCGTTATGTATGACTCTCGTGTTCCTTATAAGCACCCATATAATGCTTGGAGTGAAAGTGTAAACATACAAAACATTACTTAGAGAACCATGAGAGAGAATGCTGCTAATCACTAAGGGCCCATTTTGATGGACCATTGAAAAAGGAATGCACCACTTTTTCGCCAGCCCTTTAGGAGTGGAACAATGCAGCTTGTTCCTCTCCACTATTCATGGCCACCTTTGGGATCCTGTTAAAATGCCCCAATATCTGCATTAAAAAACATTTTTCACATATTTCTAAATTCTCCCTTCCTTAATATGAGTCATTGGACCGTCCAAATGAAGCCTAATGCATTTATCACTAGCGCATAGCATGAGGAAAGTATGAATGAGTGCCTTTGGAGGTTGCAATCTTCCAATTCACACTGAAAATAAATTAGAACTGGACTAAAGACAGGTTTGGCTTTCATTTTGTCATTGAGTATCCATTTGCGCTAGGCTCTGTGATAAAAAAGTCAATTTAGATTGTTAAACACCTTAGTTGGTTGTACATTTTGATTTTCACATTCTACCTTATGTTTCTTGAGTCCTTCAGGAGATGTCCTAATTCCTAAAGTGTTTATATTATTTACATCCAGCATGGAAAAAAATCCAACCTCATATCCCTTTCTTTGTACGTAGTACATCTACCAAATGTCCCAACACTTCACATTCTTTTTACTCAGATAACATTGCATGATTGCGATGTGGACTCATTTATATGATTCTAACTGCTACAATGGTATTTACTTTGTCATGCTTCTAAAAGTTCTGCAATAAAAAATAGTCCTGCATTGTAATAATTTTGCATCAATATTTTCTTTGAATACAGCGTATTGACCCCCTACCTAATGGAGGAGGTTATGTTCTCTGAAGATGAACTCCATTCAGCTCAGGATGGTGTATCTATTGCCTCCTACATGCAGAAAATATACCCAGGTCACTATGGAGATTGGCTTTTCTGACATTCTTATAAAAGATGAAGCACTCTTTTATAGCAATGAGTACTAAATTGTCTCACTGCAGATGAGTGGAAAAACTTTTTGGAACGTATAGAGTGTGAAAATGGAGAAGATATCAAAGAGAATAACAAACAGAAAGAGCTGTGCGAATGGGCCACTTTCCGAGGACAGACACTAAGTCGAACAGGTAAAGAACAATTACAATAGGAATTTAGTTAAAGAAAATGACACCAGGAACTTAGTTGTATTCTGTGGCAGAGTTAACGGGCAAAGCAAAATGACAAAAGGAATTTGAGTAGATAAATGAGCACCATTTCTGAGCAACAAATTGTTTATGGTTTTTTCTTTATTCCTGTCACTAAACCAAATATGTTTTCTATGTTTGAATTTGCAGTTAGAGGAATGATGTACTATAGGAAGGCACTAAAACTTCAAGCTTTTCTAGACATGCCTAAAGATGAAGGTATGTAAGTTCTCTATATGGGATCTACCTTCTTATTAGTGTCATGATTTGTATATTTCCATCCTTTGAAATACAGTAAACATGCTTTATCTGAAGTAGAAGAACCGGTTCTTTCCTGATCTATAAAAAACAAGTGATACTTTTGCTGATATATTTGAAGGCTTATGGGCTGTAGGGTGGGAAGAAGTTAGAAGTCAACGCCCACTGTCAGCACAATTGAAGGCCATAACTGATATGAAATTTACATATGTTGTATCCTGTCAAATGTTTGGGGCACACAAATCTTCTGGGGATCGGCATGCACAGGATATTGTAAACCTCATGATCAAGTAATTTAACTTTTTTTTAGAATCCTATACAGACAGAGTTTCTAGTTAACACAGCATTATATGCTGAACCACATTTTAATGGGCTTGTTCTTGAATGAAGATATCCATCACTCCGGGTTGCTTACATTGAGGAAAAGGAACAGATTGGAAATGGAAAAGCTCACAAGGTTTATTCTTCTATACTGGTCAAGGCAGTCAATAATCTGGACAAGGTAAAGTTTCCTTCAAATACTAAATTCTACATAAGCCTATATGAAAGAAGAAACATGTCTGTGCTTCTTTTGTCATGAAAAAACCTATGTTGCTTTTATAAGTGTGGTAGTATTTGACTCTTTATAAAGTGCATATCAGTAACGACTTAGGTGATTCAATTTTTCAAGCCCTCATTGATATCCCTCAGTGATATGAAAATGAATGCTTATATAAAGGTCAGATTAAAATTTGCTTTTTTTTTGGGTAAGTCAGTGGGGGAGAAGGCCCCCTACCCATTTTTTATTAATAAAAGTGCAGAGAAAAACAATTAAGATACAACCCTATGGTAGCATAATTTCGCCAGATCATGTAATAAAAAGGAGGAAAGAAAAATCTGGTGGTTTATGGCGCCACACAGTAGCACTATGGCCAGCAGCTGCCCTCTTCTCTAGGGCATCAGCAACCTTGTTAGCCTCACGAAAGACATGTTTAATGGACCATCGATGAGAAGACAGTCTGGTGCAACAATCGTCTTTACTTTGAATAACCAATTGAACTCCTTCCTCGAATGCCAAGAATTCCGCATGGTTATTAGAAGCAAAACCAAAATGCTTTGTGAAAGCAGCAGTAAAGCCGGCCGCACTGTTCCTGATAACTCCACCACCACCTGCTAAACTTGGATTTCTCGAGGAAGCACCATCAATTTTGAGTTTGTAATTATGAGTCTTAGGAAAAGACCACGCTACTGAAGTAAAAGACTCAGCCCTCTGCTGCTGCCAAGTTATCCGAAGGTTACCAATAATTCTCTAATAAATGAAAAGACCACTTCTGTTAGTGCCTGAACATGTAGGGTAATCCTCTTCACAATAAGCTCTCTCCTAGTGGGTCTTGACTCAAAAACTCTTCTGTTGCGCTCTTCCCATAGAAACCAAATAGCATGAAAAAAGATGAAAGACCAAATATTACAAAGTCCATGTGATTTAAACCTGAAAAGTAACCACCACCTAAGTAAATCAGGGACAGAGGAACTGATGATAGACTTTTTTCCACATCTCCAAGCAAGTGACCTCCATACAGCCTGCGCAACGGCACATTGGAATAATAGATGAAACAGATTGTCTTCATGGCTACTACAAAAGGTACATAAAGAGTCCAATTGCATGCCTCGCTGCTATAATAAGAATGAAGTGGGCAAACGGTTGTGCAAGGCCAGCCATGAGAACCATTTCGCCCTTGGGTGGCATTTGGAGGACCAAAGTGCATGGAAAATAGGTTGTGATTAACTTTGATGCCTAATAAAATCCTATGCCCTTTTAATAGAGAATGATCCATCAGCAGAGTGAATCCAAACCAGTGAATCCTTTTTGGGCTGTAGAGGGAGAGTATAATTCTCAACCTCTCTCCATATATTCCTCAAAAAATTAGATGTGGGATGTGGCACTCCCTACAGCAGCCCCCAAATATTCCTGGATGTTATCATCGTAGAAATTTGAAAGTGACTGACCTGCTAACCATGGGTCCATCCAGAAATCCACCATCTGCCCATTACCATTATTCCTCTGTACATTGCCTCTCAAATGAAACAAGCCAAGTAAAATCCCCTTACATGCATGAGAATATCCTCTTCTGCCTTCAGCCTCCCAAATAGAGGAATTTCTAAAATATCGATGTTTGAAGAATCGTGCCAACAACGAGGATGGATTTTTCAAAATTTTTCATGCTAACTTCATCATTCTTGCGATATTGAAATCTGTCATATCCCTTACCCCAAGACCTCCTTTAGCCATAGGGAGGCACATTGTTTTCCATTTTATAAGATGAACACCTTTTTTTTCTGCTTCGCCGGCCCATAAGAAGTTTCTCTGTAGTCTCTCTATCATATTACATGTTTTCTTTGGGAGAATGAAGGATAACAACCAGAAAACCGATGAAGCCCCCAATACAAATTTAAGCAACTGAAGTCGACCGACATATGAGAGGCATAAAGGCTGCCAAGACCCAATCTTACCAAACACCTTACCCACCAGACTCTGACAATAACTGTGCCTCAGATGTCCACAAAATAATGGTAGGCCCAAATAGCAGACAGGAAGAAACCCTTCAACAAACTAACTCCCTCAGAATTCTCCCCCGTCCTCCCCGTGGTGCACCAAAGAAAAAGACCTTGCTTTTGTCAGAGTTCAGAATCCGACCAGTACTTCTCTCAAACTTATGAATAAGTTCACACATTGTTGTGGCAGTAGAGATAGATGCCTCATAGAAAATAAGCACATCATCAGCATAAAAAAGATGAGAGACCCCATAGTCACATCCCGAAGGAAACGCCCTGGGAAGCATGCCTTGCAACATAGCACAGTTCCGCTGTCTACTAAAAAAATCCATGACCAACAAAAGATAAGGAGATAGAGGATCCCCTTGCTTCAAACCTCTCTTACCTTTAAAAAAACCTTTGGGTGTGAACAGAGAAAGAAGTAGTGGAAATACACAAGTGAACCCAAGAAACAAATAACTCAGAAAAACCCAAAGCATGCATCCTACCCACAATAAAATCCCAGGACACTCTGTCATATGCACTGCTCAAATCGATTTGCAGACACATTTTAGGCCAATCTGAGTTCCTATGGCAAAGAGACATAAAATCGTTTGCCATGAGAATATTATCAGTAATAAGCCTACCTTTCAAAAATGCAGCCTGCCTTAGGGTCGATAAAATCAGCAAGAACAACTCGTAGGTGATTAGAAATTATTTTGCTGATGATTTTGTATAGACATTACACCACCCTATAGGTCGAAAGTCTTTCATCACCCTAAGAGCATTCAGGAATCAGACAAATAAACGTGGAGTTGATTTGCTTGAGCAGCTTACCCTTAGTGAAAAATCTTTAAGTGCCAGAAAAAGATCCTTTTTAATGACTTCCCATCCAAACTTGTAGAATTCCACTGCAAAGCGATCTGGTCCTGGAGCACTTTCATTTTTCATATCCCAAATGCATGCTTTAATCTCCTCCATAGTTACTACATCCACTAGGTTGTCCTTCTGAGAAGAATTGAGATGAAATGGCAGCAAGACCTGATCAACCATGTGAAGATCAATATTGCTCTCCTGAGCCAATAAGTCTTTGAAGTAGCCAATCATATGATTTTCAACATCAGCCTCAGTAGACAAGAGATTCCCATTCTGATCTTTCAAAAAGATAATTCTATCAGTCCTCCTTCTGACCACAGTCGATAAGTGAAAATATTTGGTATTGGAGTCCCCCTCTTTTAACCAGTTTTATCTTGACTTTTGCCTCTAGAATCTTTCTTCATTGGCCAGAAGAGTTAGCAATTTCTAAGTATACTCTTAAGTTTAGCCACAAAACGATACATGGGAGTACCCCCCACTTGGCCTCGCCACGTATTACAGATAATATCTAAAAAACCATGATGCTGCTCCTACATAGAAAAATACTTAAAAGGTTTGTGCCCAACTGGACCCAGAGCAGAAATAGAGACGAGTACGGGATAGTGATCTGAGGTACCTTTAGGGAGTAATTGGACTTTGGATTCAGGGAAGGCTAAAATCCAATCAGTAGTTGCTAATGCTTGGTCCAACCTTCTTATAATGCATCTTCTGCTCAACTGGTTATTAGACCAGGAGAACTATCCTCTGACTACACCAAGATCAACAAGAGCACAATCCGTCATTACTTGAGCAAAATTGCCCGAGTCTGGTGGTAGAGAACTGCTCCCCCCCACTGATTCCGAGGGATCGAATAGTGCATTAAAATCCCCTAGTACTAGCCAGGAAAAAGCAATAGTTGCTCCTAAGGTCCTCATATGGTCCCATAGCAAGGCCCTTTGGGACACATAATTAGAGGCATACACTCTTGAAATCACTGAAATGTTTCCATTACAGATATGGGTAACCTCCACAGTAATCATTTGATCATTTGATTATTTGCATCAATCAGTTTGATTGAGTAAATTAGACATACATGGTATTAAAAGCGCAGAAGAATATGTGAAAAAAGTTCACAAAAAATTATAAAGAATAGGAAATACTACAGATCTGATAAGTAAATTTATAAAAGATACATAAAAGTATAGAATTATTTTCTAGGAGTCTTAGACTGAACAAGACATATCAATCCATTGCTTTAATATGAAAAACCTAATGCAATCTGTGTAGCACTATTTTATAAAAGAATCACGAATTTCTTCTTCCTAGGTAGTGGCACACCCAAATCAAGATAATTATACAACGAACATTTTAATCATGTAAACTTGAGCAGAATAGGGTTAAATTTAAAATAGTTGCGTGTCTGACATATTTTCTCCATGTGTTCCTTCAGAGAGAGGTAAGTGGAATTGCTTATATGTGCCATTGTTTGGATACTCATGATGAAGGTTTACACAACAATTTAGAGCTAAAGAAAACAATTGTATCCACAAAAATGTGGCCTTTCTTTAATAGGTATCAGGATATACTCAAAAGAGACAATGCCATGTAAGCGGTACGGAATTAGGATGGAGGCAATAAAGTGGTGATGTAGGAGAACTTGCGGGAATAGTAAAATCAGCAATAACAAAGCTAAACACAAGCATAATTCAAATGAAACCTAGGGTTTCTTCTCCATACCCCAAGCTAGAGTTCCAAAAGCCTAAGATTTTCTCTCTTTCAATTTCTAAAAATATGTAGAATTGACCCTCTCAAGGCCCCACATACGTCTTATATATTATAGTTCAATGTTCAAAGATATTACACGTCTATACAACGATTAAACTGAACTATATATCCTAACTTAAATTTAATTTTCGAAATGATAGTTTTACCTTTGTGAACAAAAAATACCCATGAACAGTACTCATGAATAGTACTTGTGAATAGTCCTCATGAAATAAATAAAAGGACTATAAAAACCCTAGAATTCCTAAAAACCCGTAAAATAAACAATAAACTAAAACTATAATATACATCTTTGAAATTGAATAAAATAAAAAATAAAGATAATTTGCCCTTCATCTTTCTCCCTTGGTTGGAGAAAACTCGTCTTTGAGTTTTGACGTGTGCTAAGATGAAATTTGCATTAGTCCGTCAATATTCTTCATCTCAAATATGGTATTCATGATCCTGGGACTTGTGGTTATTGCACTAATCAAAACACAATGATTGTGCATTAGAACTGAGAAAACCTCGTGGAAAGGGTCATTGTATGTGGACAAAATATTTTTAATCACATGAATTTGTTGAAATTGCATCACTTCAGGCATGTAACTATGTTGAATTTGCTCATATTCAGCTCTAGAACACACTACAGGTGCATCTTTGAGATCAATGACTAAACCAACAACTTCACCTATCAATTCTCCTTTGACTCTATCTTTTCCTTGTCAAATACCAATTCACCCACAAAAGCTTGATCATCATCGTAGATTGGATCTCCTACAAGATCTTGTTATTCATCAAAGTATGCATTGAAGATTGGTGGCAGATTCCAATGTACATGTTGCTGATTTTCGATATGATTTGTGTCAAAATCAAGAATCTCATTCTCCAAATCGAAAACCTTAGAATGATGTTCCCCACATCTAGGTCTTGTGTCACCATCCTCATCACTCAACTCCCTATGCAGAGTGCAAAAGTGAACTTGAGGGAATAGTAAAATCAACAATAAACAAACCTGAACACGAACATAATTCAAAAGAAACCTAGGGTTTCTTCTCCATGCCCCAAGCTAGGGTGTTCCCAAAGCCTAAGCTTTTTTCTCTTTTAATTTTTAAAATATGTGGTATTGGCCCCACAGACGTCTTATATATTATAGTTCAATGCTCAAAGGCATTACATCTCTATATAATGATTAAAATGACCTATATATTCTAACTTAAACTTAATTTTCGTAATGACAGTTATACCCCTGTGAAAAGTACTAGTGAACAGTACCCATGAATAGTACTTGTGAACAGTACTCATGAAATAAATAGAAGAACGATAAAAGCCCTAGAATTTCTAAGAAACTAAAAACCCCTTGAAATAAACCCTAAAAATAAAACTATAATATATATCTTTTGAAATTGAAAATAAATAAAAAATAAGGATAATTTGCCCTTTATCAACTGGTAGTATGAGTGAGCTTACAAGGTGTCATATGTGGTAAAGGATGGAAGTGAAGGAAACGTGAGAATCCTTCTCTTGAGTTATCGTTGAAGACCTGTTCACGGAGAAAGAGAGAAAGGATACATTGCATCTAATCTCTTTAATAGAAACCAGCATAATTTCTCAACTTCGAATGCTAAATTTCTACCAACTGCATGCCCCTCTATAGACCAAGTATGTAGATTAACACATGTAACATGCTGAGATTATTCTTATGATTCCTTCTCGTCATCATGTTTTCCTTGCTTCACATCAATATATGAACCTAAATCCTGTTTTAAAGCCACAACTGATCGATGCTGGCTAGATCTTGTGTATAAAGAACCAAGGGTAGTTGAAAAGAAGGGACCTAGGACAATTTCACTTCCCAGAGGAAAGCAAAATTTGATTCTAGAAAGGTCTACAACACCAAGTTGAACCAGGATGCCATCTCTAATTGGGATAAGGCCAGACACGATGTGGAAGGAACTGGCAAGAATATGCAATGGGTTTTGCCCAGAACTTTTGCTTCAGTCACCAAAATGCAAACAATTAGGATGTTTTTATTTCCATCAAATGTCAAGAATTCATTTGTGCGTGGAAACCTTCAAATGGAAGTATACATGGAAATGACCTTCCTGAAGATTGCCAGTGAAAGGAATGCAAAACATTGATCAATATACTGATTTTCCTTTATGGTCGAAATGAAGCCCCAAGATCCTGGTCTTATAAATCTGTCTTGCAATAATCACTGCATGATTTAACAAAGTTCACACTGACCATTTATTATTCATGAAAAAGAATCTAGAGGCACTGTATGCTAGTTACAGAGGGATGGTCTACAGGGCATTGAAAAATTGGAGTATTCATACCAAATGTTTGGGGAAAAAAAAACGACTTCACAAAGTTAAAGCATTTCCTAAATAATGAGGTTGCTAGATCTGCAGAGGAAAATTCTCTCACTGCATGCATTGTTATTGAGGTCATATATTTCAAGTATCTGGGCAGCTGGAGTTCAAATGTCTTTCGTAAACATAAAGTAATAGCGCACTTTGTCCTTTAGACCAAGAAATATAATTTTTAGCTTAATCAAACAGTGCACTTTCTTTTTTGATGAGGCTCAGTATTTGCTATACCTGTTGTTTATAATTTCAATAAAGCATATTATATTAAATATCATTTCTTTAGCGTGGGAAATTGAATCTATATGAGCAGATGCGACCTATGGTTGCTGTGATTGAATCAACCATACGTGTCGCCCTCTAGCTACTGCTCTTGCATTGTTTTTGGGAGATGTCACAATGTACCTTGCTTTCTGAAATTTGTCCTCATTACCTTGTCAAAAGAAAATCTTACATTCATGTCAATAATTTTATCATGAAACGTTTAGGAAATATATCGCATCAAGCTCCCGGGGCCACCTAATATTGGAGAAGGGAAGCCAGAGAACCAAAATCATGCCATAATATTTACACGTGGTGAAGCCCTTCAGACCATTGACATGAACCAAGTATGCTCAAAACTTTCTTAGTTACCATGTTTCTGTAACAGCCACTGAAAACTTCTACTGCAGGACAACTATTTAGAAGAAGCCTTAAAAATGAGAAATGTCTTACAAGAATTCCTTAAACATCATGGAAAGCGTCATCCAACCATTCTTGGTCTTAGAGAACACATATTCACGGGAAGGTTGGTGCCACTCCAAGAGTTCACTGTAATTTCTATAATCTCAGATGTTAAGAATCACATAATGAGCAAACAGTGTTGAGATGGTTCGCTGTTCTTACTTGTTGGAAATATGCACCTGATTTTTTTTCTTTGTCTTTTACAGTTTCTCCTCTTTGGCTGGATTCATGTCTCACCAAGAAACCAGTTTTGTCACTATTGGGCAAAGACTTTTAGCAGACCCTCTTAAGTAAGGAGTTTAACTAGACATAATCTGGTTAAGCTATTGGTTTATTTATTGAAGCATGTTTCAAATTTGACTATGTAAAATTATCTGTCAATTTTTTATTCTTATCATGACATGTCGATTCTCATCTCTTATGATTATGTTTCTTTACTCAGTGATACATGCTATTCTCCTAAACTTTTAAGTTCATTCTGTACAGAGTGCGTTTCCACTATGGTCACCCAGACATATTTGACAGATTGTTCCACATAACAAGGGGTGGCATAAGCAAGGCATCCAAAGTTATAAACTTGAGTGAAGATATATTTGCTGGTATAAACTGAAGCAGTTCTCAAGTTTTCTTTATGCTAATTAAAGAAATTCTCACCTTTAAGTTGTATAGTTTGAATGAATCTTAGAATGCAGGCAAGGAATAAAAATAATTCTTAAAATGTGCTCTCTTACATATTACTGTAGGATTCAACTCAACTTTGCGGCAAGGAAATGTGACCTACCATGAATACATACAAGTTGGTAAAGGCCGTGATGTTGGTCTCAACCTGATTACGAAATTTGAAGCCAAAGTAGCCAACGGAAATGGTGAACAGACACTAAGTCGCGATTTATATCGGCTTGGACATCATTTTGACTTTTTTCGAATGCTATCCTGCTACTTCACAACCATTGGATTCTATTCTAATAGTCTGGTATATTCCACGCGAAAGGCAATTTGATTTAATTCTTACAGCAATGTCTGGATTTTCAGAAACTTAAATTCCATGTTTCAATATATTTATCCTAGGAAATGGTTATAGACATTGATTATGTTATACAGTATCTTCATTTTATCTGAACATTGCAGATCATGGTGCTGGCAGTTTATGCTTTTCTATATGGGCAGCTTTACCTGGTGCTTAGTGGGCTGGAGAAAGCAATCCTAGAAAAAGTTGGAAGAAAGCACATTGAGTCTCTTGAATCAGCTTTGGCTTCCCAGTCATTTATCCAGTTTGGGCTTCTAACAGGTTTACCCATGGTAATGGAGATCGCACTTGAGAGAGGATTCCGTGCTGCTTTGAGCAAATTCATCACAATGCAGTTAAAGTTGTCATCTGTTTTCTTCACATTCTCCCTTGGAACGAAAACCCATTATTATGGCCGAACTCTACTTCATGGAGGTGCTAAGTATAGGGCCACAGGTCGTAGGTTTACGGTGTTCCATGTGAGTTTTGCAGAGAACTATCGACTATACTCACGTAGCCACTTTGTGAAAGGATTTGAATTGATTATTCTCTTGATTATCTACAATATGTATGGTCAATCCCTCAAGAGAAGCTTCATATGCATGGTAGTCACATATTCCATTTGGTTCACAGTGGTTACCTGGCTATTCGCCCCTTTTCTGTTTAATCCTTCAGGATTTAAGGGGCAGGAAATTGTTGAGGATTGGAAGGCTGAGGGTCAAAAGATTGTTGAGGATTGGAAGGGTTGGAAAAAATGGATCAAGAACTCTGGAGGCATTGGAGTGCAACAGGAAAAGAGTTGGGAATCTTGGTGGGATGCAGAGCAGAGTCATCTGAAATATTCCGGATTGAGTGGAAAAATAATTGAAATTATTCTTTCACTCAGATTTTTCGTTTATCAATATGGCCTTGTTTATCATCTCGATATAACTCATGAAGAAAAGAGTATCCTGGTCTCTCACTCTCTCTCTCTCTCTCTCTCTCAAACATGGTCTCTCATATCCAAGTTGTACTTTGGCTATTATTTTTTTATTAGTGCCCATTGTTCTGCATACTTAATTTTCACAGTTGCTGCCACCCTGCAGGTATACACACTTTCTTGGATTGTGATTGCAACCTTACTCATTGCCATCAAGGTAAGAGACATCTTAGGAGCTTCTAATGTTCTGGACCTCATAAATTAATTAGTCGTGTGAAATGAGTAAATCTCTAATGTCATATCTGAGCAAATTTCTATACTTATGAGCCACACAATAAAGCTGTGGGAGAGAGTGATTGAGCAATGCTTAAGGCATAAAACGAGTATATCAGAAAACCAATTCAGTTTTATGCTTGGGAAGTGAACAATTGAGGCTATTTTCTTATGCAGGCAACCGATTAAGAAGTTTAGGGTGAAAGCAAAAGACCTCCACATGGTCTTTATTGATCTAGAAAAAGCTTATGATAGAGTATTTCGAGATTTAATTTGGTGGGTGTTGGAAAAGAATGGAGTCTCCAGATATTATATCGATTTTTTTTTCGGGTAAGTGATATTATATCGACTTAATGAGAGATATGTATGATTTAACTAGTGTGCCAAACCAGTGGAGAGACGAGTGAGTTTTTAGTGACAATAAGTTTACATCAGGGGTCAGCATTGAACTCCTACCTCTTTGTCTTAATTATGGACGACTTAACTAAGCACTTACAAGATGAGGTATCATAATATATGTTCGCGAAAGACATGGTTTTGATGGATGAGACCCGAAATTGCGTCAACATAAAGTTAGAACTTTGGAGGGGAAGCTCTAGCATCAAAAGGTTTTAAAATTAGCAAGGCTAATACAGAGTATATGGAATGCAAGTTTAGTAATAATAGGAGAAGAGACGAGAAAGTAATTCAAATTGGCGGCCAAGAAATAAAAAAAAAATCACACTTTCGATATCATGGGTCGATAATCCAGGAAAATGGAGAGATTGAGGAAGATATCACATATAGAATTAGAGTTGGGTGAGCAAAGTGGAGATGTGTAACCCGATTTTGAGGTGATCGCCGCATTCCAATGAAGCTGAAGGGGAAGTTCTATAGGACAACTATGAGAGCAACTTTGCTTTATGGGGTAGAATATTGGGTGGTCAAAAAATAACATACTTATAAGATGAGTGTAGCTGAGATGAGGATGTTAAGATGGACGAGTGGCAAGACAAGATGGGATAGCCTTCAAAATAAATGGATTCAGAAGAAATTGGGTGTGGCTCCAATAAGTAATAAGATGAAAGAAAGTAGTCTTAGGTGGGCTGGCCATATGCAATGCAGACCCAATACAATACCTGTTAGGAGGTGCGAGTTGGTTCAAGTGGAAGGCTAAAAAAAGGCGAGAAGTACACTCAAAAGGACATGGTTGGAAGTAGTGAGAAAAGATAAAGGGACTTATGGCCTCACCGAAGATGTAGCCCTTGATAGAGCAGAATGGCAAACCAGGATTCGTGTAGCCAAATCCCAAATAGTTGGGAAAAGGCTCTTCTGATGATGATGATAGGCATCTCCCCACCCAAAAGACACGCATATACACAAAGTATACAATGTCAAATGTTCCAATTACCATTTCTCTAACAAATACCAAAAGTGTTGGAAAATTAATGCATCTCTACTAGCAGCGAAAGACCTCATTAAATAAATAGTCTAGTCAAATGAACAAATTTTCAATGGTATAGGCAAAATACACACATATAGGCAAAGAACACAATGTGAAATGTTTCAATTACCATTTCTCTAACAATTACTGGAGGTGCTGCACAATTAAAGTATCTTTACTAGCAGCGAAACTATCTAAAAACCTACAATTTACTGCATCAGTGGTGACTTTTCAACCAAGAATTCTGAAATTATTTTATTGTGGACATATTGAGGTAATGTTCAATATTGGATGAAATGTATTTGTTATTGGATATATAAAAAAATCGGATGCTGGCGAGCCTATAGGCGAAAATACTGTTCATTATATAAATAGTAGATGAAATGTGAGGAAGCAAAACAATACCTCGTAATTGAGGTTGCGAAAGGGGAAGCATGATAGTTCCTCATAATTGCTTTTGGCAAAATGAGTGTTCACCTTTGTCCATTAGATAGTGTTAGGATACCAAGTTTAGATGCAGCCTATTGGGATAGGCATTGGTGGTGCAGGAGATGTGGAATTGAAGTTCGTATGGCCCTGTGACCACCCTCTTTTCAAACAGTCTCTTTGCTCACAGGAGATGGATATCTATTTTGAAAACCCCGTCTTTGTACGTATTTCATATACCCTTATGTAATGGGAGAAGTCGTCAATTAATACAATATAGTCATATGCCCATTTGGAACAGAAAAGTCATCAACGAATGGAACCTAATGTAATTAAATAGCTTTGGACTAGCACAAGTGTGAGTGCCCACACATCAGAATGGATAACATCAAAAGGATGCTGACCATAACTTGCCAGGAGATGTATGAGATGAAAGTGGACATATGATGAAAATAGAACCAGATCTGGCAGCAGTGGCTGATTCTGTTTTATACTGCCGATACTCCTTAATTGGGTTTTACTTGAGGGAGTAAATGGACAGTTTGCTCCAGTGGGAGCATGAAATCTTTTGTCATATATCTATGTAAGCATGAAATATTGGAGCATGATTTCCTTTGTATGGATGGCATTGTGGGTGTGATACCATGCTCTCTAACTATTGGGGAGTAGAGACAAAATAACAACTGCTATATTGATTTTAGGGAAACTTACAAAAACCCCCAAGACCACACTTTCTATGCAACTTACCCACAACCTAACTTTTTCTCTCACTTTTTTCCTCAAAACAAACTTTCTATGCAAATACCCCCAAAGGGAAAAAGTTCATTTTTTTAGACAGAAATGCCAGTCCTGTATACTAAAATCATTTTGGACAGATTTGACGTTGACTTTTGGACCCCAGTAGCACATTGCTGGAGCGCACCATCACATTGCCGGAGCGTACAACTGTTGGACCGCCCTTTGCAACTGTCAGACTGTCCTTTGCAACTGCCGGACTGCACTTTACACAGTGCCGGAGCCCTACTGTCGGACCGCACTTTACATAGTGCTAGAGCCTTACTGCCGGACCGAATTTTACACAGCACTGGAGCACTACTGCCGGACCGCACTTACACGGTGCCGGAGCCCCCTATTTTGGTGGGATAGAGGAGAGAGGCATGGGTAAGGTAAAAAAGTAAGGGAGGGCAGTTTAGGCCTTTTTTTTTTTGGTTGGGGGGGTTTTTGCATAGAAAGTACATTTTGGGGGGAAAACTAAGAAAAGTTAGGTTGGGGTAAGTTGCATAGAAAGTGTAGTTTTGGGGTTTTTTTGTAATTTTCCCTTGATTTTGCTAAAGAAACTTTATTGAAATTGGCCCTCAAGAATTACAGTTCTGAATCTTTCCATGGAAGAACTGTCATTCCTGGATAGGTATTCTCAATTTAGAGCTGTTCCCTTTGTAGCTATGTTGTTCTATTTGAGTATTCTTGGTGCTTTACAGAACTCTATGAGCAGTTTATTCTTCTTAGTATGTGAACTCATCAATATTGCATTTTCCCCATGACCTAAATCCTCTTTGATTAATAGTAGACTGCCGATCATGAGTTGCATGTGGAGGATGTCTCATATTATAAAACTAACTAGTGAATGATCAATGCATAAGACTTGCGGCATGTGAGAGAGATTTGAACTTGTGGCTCAGCCACTTTTTATTTAATTTAGATAGAGGGCTCACTAGTGATGAATCTTTCCATCTAAAATATGTGCACACCCATCTGAATTATATTGTATAAGAGATGGTATCTTCTTTTTTCTTTTGTTCATCACTGTAAATTCAATTTCTAACATTGGGAAACATTCATTTATAGGCTGTCAATAAAGGACGCCAGTTTCTTGGTGCACAATTTCACTTTGAATACAGGCTTCTTAAGGTCTGTTTGTTCTTGGGGGCCTCATCAATCCTCCTTGTGCTCTTCTCTGTCTATGGCCTCTCTTTAATGGACGTGTTTGTGTGCTGCCTTGCTTTTCTACCCACTGGGTGGGGCTTGCTGATGGTGAGTGGTGCTCCCATACTGTTCATGACCACACCTTTATTTATTGCGCACTTGATGACCATTTTGTACAAATGTGTTAATGCACACTACACCATTGCACCTGAATTTTCGAGACCATGGTGAATGCGCCTATACATTGTCCAAAATGCCTGGCACATCTTAAGTATTCACATTATGCCTGAGGCCCTAGTAATTTGGCGCTTTCCTAGATAGTGTTCTCCTTTATGTGAATTACCTAGATATTGATACAAGTCAGACTGTTTGTACATGTGTGGATATGTGGGGCTGATTCTTGTAGTTTTACCCAGATTGCACAAGCAGTGAGGCCTTTGATTGAAGACACAAGATTATGGGAATCTGTTCAGGTGTTGGCTCAAGCTTATGATTATGGGATGGGGTTTATCCTTTTTATTCCTGTGGCTATACTTGCTTTGATCCGAGATGTATCAGACCTTCAGAAAATTACTTCTCTCCGGGCAGGCCGTCGCATGCAAAGTACGAATACGACCCGTCCTCGCAGGAGAAGATAAATACAAGTGATAATCAGCTGCTGTCATAGTTTGGGAGCATGATTCTTCCCTCTTCTTTGTGGAGCTATGGAGATGGTCAAACTATTATGACCATCATCGCAATGCACCTATGGCCATGTGCTTACGGCACGATAACCACAACACTAGCTCCAAGGTTCAAATCCCAGATAGATGGAATAAAATATATATCATTATCACCTTATGCCGCATTTTTTGTGCAATCAATTGTCTAATATTCCTGCCACTCGTTAATTGTACATAATTTGGGAACCAATAGGACTTGGTAACAATTTTACTAACCTCTTTGTGGCCCTTATGACGGGCCTACATACTGTATCAGATTAGCGCTATCCCTTTGATAGACAACTCTGTAAATGGTGGTGGTAACAGGTCAATACGTTATCTTATAGTAACAGTACTGATTTTAAAAGATTCGAGCCTTTTATCATTACAACTATTAATAATGGGCATAATATTTTCTGTTATTTTTTTGTAGAAAATCACAAATTTTTAATCATTGTTCTATGCTTTTTGAAAATTTCCAATAAGATAAACATATATTTTTGAAACAAACAATGATGTAGAATAGCCTTTCTAGAATGGTCATTTCATAAAAAACTTAGCAAAAAATGGATTTTTCCTATTTAGTTTTCTCCGTCTTCCTTTGTTTTTTATCTTTTCCATTTTTTCTTCTTCTAACGTACCAATCATTCCAATGCTCGAAAGAGGGGGTTATCCTTGCAATTTTTTTTCCTATTATACTAGAAACAGGGGGTTATCCTTGCAATTTTGTTTTCCTATCATACTAGAAACGGGGGGTTATCCTTGCAATTTTCTTTTCCTTTTTTTTTTTCTGTCTTCCTTTCTTTTTTCCATTTTTTCTTCTTCTAACGTACCAATCTTTCCAATGCTAGAAACAAGGGGTTATCCATGCAAATTGTTTTTCCTATTATACTGGAAACAGGGGACGCTTGGTAGGAATTGAGCCTAGGACAAACAGGGGACGCTTAGTAGGAATTGAGCCTTTCTAGAATGGTTATTTTCATAAAGAACTTACCAAAAAATAGATTTTTCCTATTTATTTTTCTGTCTTCCTTTGTTTTATCTTTTCCATTTTTTCTTCTTCTAACGTACCAATCATTCCAATGCACCAATCATTCCAATGCTAGAAACACGGGGTTGTCTTTGCAAACAAATTTTCCTATTATACTAGAAACAGGGGGTTATCCTTGCAATTTTCTTTTCCTATTTATTTTTCTGTCTTCCTTTGTTTTTTCCATTTTGTCTTCTTCTAAGATACCACAATCATTCCAATGCTAGAAACAGGGGATTATCATTCCAATGCTAGAAACAGGGAACACTTGGTAGGAATTGAGCCTAGGACAAACAGGGGACGCTTGGTAGGAATTGAGCCCCGGACATTGCATTACAAATTATCGAGTGCTAAGACGCTTGGTAGGAATTGAGCCTCGGACATTGCATTGCAAATTATCAAGTGCTAACCAATTAAGCCTAAGCTCTTTTCCTGGTTACCTTTGCATTTGATTGACATGTATCGCATTAGCATTATTAATAGGAAAAAATTTAAGCAAAGTTGTATCCTATAGCCTACATTTTATTTTGGAAAAATTACGTATAAATCCAATATATTTACAGTTGTTACAAAACTAAACAATCTCTAATGGCATTCATATTTTTTGCAAATTACATGCATATCCGTTTTGAGCCTTTTATGTAAATTACATACATATCCATTTTCAGTTTGGCCGAATTTTTTTCCAAAATTGCCCCAATTGTCAAAATCTCAAAATCCGAAAATCTTTTAGTCCTCCACAAACCAGCATCGATGCTCTACTGGATCTCGCATTCCTCTTTCTCTCTCTAAGAGCTGGAGCCATCTCCTCTCACCCTCTCTTCTCCTTGCTGCATCTCCCATTCCTTTGCCCTTTTTCTCATTGGGGCTGGTTAAGCTCTAATATTGCAACCAGTGTAGGGCTCACATCAATATTGACATCCAGTATTGGTCGGTGCACGAAATTGTAGAGAAGCCTGAGATTTATTTGTCATAAGCAAGCTTAAAGAATCAAAGTAGGTGCAGAAGTTTGATTTAGGGCTTTTAATTCATATCCCTCCAAAAGTACTAAATAAAAATTGTAATTTATGGCTTATATGTTTTTGATTTAGGGCTTTTAATTCTGACATGTAAGAAAAACAGTCCCATGAATTTTTTACCTATGCATATGCATAAATATTTGTAATTATTTATCGATCTTTAACAAGTAAGTAAAACTCTAATAAAAATACAGATTTCTTGGAGATATTTTGATACATTAATTTTTTGGGCAAAAATGGGGTTTCTTTTGTACAAATCAAGAAAATATTCGTGTTGCATTAATGTTGATTCAAGTGCTTGCCGCTTATACAAATCGTTATCCTTGCTGATTTTGATACATTAATTTGTTGGGAAAATATTTGTGTTTCTTTTGCATTGATCATTGTCCTTGCCGATTTGTTGGAGATATTTTGATATTTTTGGATAATTAGCATGGATTACCATCACTGTATAACCTTTCATTTGCTCTTCAAAATTACTTCACATAATTTGAAGTGCTTTTATCATTAGGAATATACTAAGGGAATGTCTATCTTTTATAACTCATAATCATTTGCACTCATTAGATGTCAAATTGGATGACTTAGGGTGAGTCACAAAATCTGAAAATTTTATTTTGGAACTTTGTGTCTATTCAATGACACTATTACCACTACCCGTTTTAAAATTTAAAGAGCAAAATCGATTGTGACTTTAATGTACATAAGATAAATTGTCTCTTTATATACAATCACATATAGAAATGATTTAATCCGTAAAATGTTTCAAGTTGTTTCCTTATTAATATCATGCCTTCTCAATTTGATATGTTGTTTATGAAGTAATTGAGTTCTGTCCATGAAATTCTGCTGCATTACCTGCCCCTTGGTTAATTTTCAACACTTTTCATGTCTATTGGACGCATAATTTAGAAGATGATGTGATCGACTGATTAACTATTCTTTTATTGGCATATATGAATTTAAAGAATTGAAAATAATATTAAATGTTATGAGTTTTATATGAATTTCAGTGGCTTATTATTTGATTTATTTATTTTTATTCCTATGATAGACGAAAGGCAAATGTGTTCGTTTACAATATTTCTTAAAAGCTTGTATTTGCATCTGTGTGCATTCAAACAAATGTGATCTACTTGACTTAGTTTTGCATCTATAAACTTATTATGAACCATTTATACAATTGGGATCCAGTAAATATGGTACGTACACTGCCCTCTTGATGGCTACCCTTGAGGTCCACAGGACCCAAGTCTGCTGGAAGTATATACATTGTCAAGATTTTACAATTATCTTAAGGGTGTGGTTTCTATAACGTTGTAACTTTAAACAATCCAATTATGGCGTATCTCCAAATTTTATCATAACATGCAATTTTGGTATAAAAAATTATTAGAATTATCTCAAAATCTATTTTCATATCTTACTATAAAATTTTAAAATCCAAAAATGGTTAAATCAAGTAGATCTATAAACATATGAAAATCTTGCAACTTGACGGTCTAGATAATGTGTTGCAAGATGCACTATTTTTGAGACGCAAATTTTTTAGGGTTTTTTAAAATTAAAATAACTTTTTCCGATAGATTTTTGAGGTGCATTTGTAATTCTACATTTGAAGGTTGCAACTTTATATAAACTTTTTGTTATTTTCAAGACGTACAATTATCTTAATGTTGTTGCTTGAAACAAATTATGATAGTGAAAATCTTTGATCTCAGAACCATGCTGAATAAAAGGAAAACTTTAATTTTTACAACTATGAAAACAAGTGTTTTGAGATTGTTGTTTTTTAAAGGAAAAGTTTATATAGAGCCGAGGGTCCAAACAATCAAATTAGAGCCTACCTCAAAAATTTCAGTAGAAGAGATTGTTTTGATGCTCAAATGTCCTCAAATTGATCATCTTGACATCAAGATACATGGACATGAGAAAAAATAGATTTCAAGTTTTGGAAATAGTGTATTGCATAGTGCATTTTTGAACAGTCAATTTTCAAGATTTTCAAGTTTTCATATATCTGTCGATCTACACTATTTTTGAAACTTTAAAATGTATAAATAAAGATAAAAACATATTTTAAGGCTATCACAAAAATTTACAATGTTGAAACTACATTTCTCGACACTATTGTAGGTAGGTTCTGATTTAATTGTTTAGCGCCTAGGCTCTATACAAACCGCACCATTTTTAAAATATAGATCTCATTTTCTTTAAAAATAAGCGCTTTGTGCGTCAATGTTCGAACCACTGGTTAGAATATCTGAAAAATGCAAGCTTTCGGATGTTGAAAGACGCTACCGCATTGATGTTAACGTTTTTAGAAGCATTTTTGGGTCTTTAAATCATATGAAAAACCAAAATATTGAGCAATTTGGATATTGAACACCCGAAACCAGCGGAAGGCTATTGGAATTGTTTTTATGTTTCCAAGAGCATTTTTTTGTTGTTCAAAGATCGAAGATATAAGGTTTTTGGATATTCAATATCTGAAATGTCGATAAATTTGGATTCGAACATCCAAAATTAGCAGCAGCCTACTGGATTTGTTTTGGTGTTTCCAGTTGGTCTTTTGGAGACTGAAAATATAGATATTTCGGATATTCAATTTATGAAACGTCGATAAGTTCTGAATTTCAAACATCTGAAACCAACGATAGTTTACTGGAACTGTTTTCATATTTCCAATAGCATTTTTGGTCTTTCAAAGACTAAAAATATAGCTATTTCGGATAGTTAATAACCTAAATATTGATATTTTCTGATGTTGTACATCAAAATGTAAAAGATGCTACTGATGTTTTTTTTAAGTCTCCAATATTTCGGTCTTTCAAAGGCCGAAAAAATGGCTATTTTGGATAAAAAATATCCAAAATATTAATAATTTTGGATGTTGAACATCTGAAATATGAAAGAGGCTATGGAATATTTTTTGAGTTTCCAGTAGCATTTTTGGTCTTTTAAAAACCGAAACTATTGTTGGATATATATCCTTTCAAGGCCTTGAGTGCGATGCTAGAAATGTTTTGAGTCACAGTGGGAGTGACCAGTGGCTACCAGACTCTTTATATACTGGGATTAGAATAGGCCAAAATAACCATGTTTAGACTGAGGGGAGGGTTTTGGAATATTGTGAACCGAGAGGTTTTAGGGTTTTGCTTCTAGTCATGGTCGATATGATTAGATTTACCTCATTTCATGTGAGCCAGGGCCTGGGGATCAGTAGATATATATATATATATATATATATATATATATATATATATATATAGTAGTGTGTGTAGTGTGTGTGTGTGTGTGTGTGTGTGTGAGTAGTAGGCTGTAAGACGACATAAGCCA